TGTTGCTGTTGTACCCCTGGCTCTCCAGCCCTCAAGCGCAGCCCCGCTCTCTGTGGCTGGGAACTTTTCTCCAAGGAGCCGTTGCTTCCACTGAAATCCTGAAGGATTCGCAGACTCAGCTTTTTGAGGCCAGTTGGCATGGGGCTGCCCACAGCGTCTGATGCCTTCATATCACGGCTGCAGGGCCTGTGGGCCATGGGGAGAGCAAAATCCATCACCAGGTGCACGAGAAGGGCCAAGAGCAGAAGAAGGAGAAGGCTGGTTTTAAATTTCCTCTGGAAAAGCGTTTGCAGCCTGCACCGCATCCTTCCTCATGCAAAACACTCAGCAAGGGGTGGGTGCCCACACAGGGTTAAAAATGTTGGTGTGGCTGCAGCCTCTGTGCAAAAATAGGAGAGAGGTTTCCTGGATTTAGAACATCGCAGCAAAAGAGCAACTGGTGCAAGGGCAGTGTGGCAGGAAAGATCTGTCACCACAGCACCTCACAGTGTGACACCACGAGGATGGGACAGGAGGTTGTGGTGGGGTTTATCAACACTGATAAGGATCAAGCTGGCACTGCCAAGGTTAAAGTGAATGGGGCAAGTTCCAAATCAATAACTGCAAGGCTGGCTCAGGGACAGCAATGGTTGCAGATGACTCCCCACTGTCCTGCCTCTCTGTGCTGTCACCTGCACAGGGCTGCAGAACATTTCCTTGAATACAGGGCATTAAAACGGTTCTGCCCCTCTGCAGCACACACCCTGCTCAGCACTATGTAGCCCCATTCCCCAAGTTCATCATAGCTGCACTCTCAGAATCCAGAAGAATTTTTTTTCCTCTTGCTTGGCCATATAAATTTTATCACCCTCCATCCATTGAAAATCAGTTGTACTCAAACCTCCTCTCAAAAACCACTCAAACTAGATAAAACAAAGGGGATATGAGCATTGACATCACTGTGAGGGGAAATGCTGGGCAGGCAGTGTAAAGAAGGGCTACCAGGCAGGTGAATTTCAGGGGCAGGGATGTTCCCAGGGCCCCTAAATCGGGTATGGGAGACAAACAGGCAGGATGGGGATATTGCCTTGGGCATCAGCACAGAGGGGCAATGCGACCCACTGAGTGCTGGGGAGGACTGTCAACTTGTGGGAGGGAAGAGCATTTATTTTTACAAGAAATTAACTTTTTCAGTGACGCCCAAAGACACAGAGCTGGGATGTGTGCACAAAAATGGTTCATGACTTGTAGGGTGGAGCTTTGTATTTGAGAAGGGTCAGAGAAGCACAGGACCACCTGCAATAAGTCTGGGGGCTGGGGTACAGTCTGGCACAATGTTTCTTTTCTCTTTGATCTTCCAAGGGACGCAGAAGGCACGTGAAATCCCATATATCATGCAGTCCTTCCTTGTCGCGTGGTGCACCGGCAGCCAGCTTGGAAATGCTCACTCCCAGCCAGGGAGAGCATGATCATCAGCGGGCAGAAGGGGATATTTTGCAGACCCCCTCCTCTGCGGCCATCCCTGCGCTACCCTCTCCGCACGGTCCTGTGCCGGCTCCTGCCGCGCGTGTCTCGGTCCCCGCCCAGGCGGCGCGCTGGGAACGCGGTGTCCCGGTGTTCTTGGCTCGCGTGTCCCACGGCGCGACAGTTGCCTGGAAACCGCCTCCGGCTGACACCATCACCGCCCCAGATCCAGCCAGCCCGCGTTCCCGAGCCTTCTGCTAGCAAGATGGCCGGGGAGAGCCGGGGCAAGCGAGGAGGAGGAGAGCTTTCCAGCCCGGCTGGCGAGCTCGAAGCCCCGCAGAAGGAGCTGGTGGAGGGGAGCAGATGGCTTCCCTGGGTGGGGGAACAGAGTGTCTTGCTCCGGGAAGTTTGCTGAATTCAGTCCGGACACACGTTTCAGACAGAAGGCCCCTAGGAGGGGCTGTAGCTAGAACATGGGATCATTAGGTCATGGCTCAGAAAAACAACAGCCAAAACACCAACTCCGTGTGCTAACTGATCGCATCAAAGGAGCTGGGCTCGGCTCCCGAAGGAGAGCCACGGATTTCATTATTCCAGAGCCAGCCCTGAAGAGAGGGAGACCTCCTCCTTCCAGTGCCCCAAACCAGCTCCAAACGGGGCTGGAGGGGATAGAAACCTCCTTCTCATATTCTAGAGTCAGATGGGCAGAGGGACCCTATGGGCTGAAGCCACCCTACTGACAGTTAGCCCCATTCCCAGATAATGAACCTTGCAATCCTACCTCCTCACCCTGATTTAGCATCCCATTGGAAAGCAAAGGCAGGGGGCTTAGGTGAGGCATTTGCCACCCTTAGCACTTCAATGCTGGCATTAAATATTAACCAAAAGATTTTTCAGCGAGTCAGACATGAGCCTGCAGCAACAGAGAGGAGCTGCAAACCTTCAAAGTCTGCCCTGGTCACCTGACAAGCACTTCCATGTACCTTGTTGCCATGACATCATCATAGAGACGTGGTTGAATTTGCACCTCTTTCTTCTCATCTCCCCCCTCCAGCTCTTCCTCCATCTTCCCAGCAGGTTCGAGTCACCCTTGGGGCGGAGGAGGAGCCCTACATCCGAGGACATTTTCACTGCTGGCTCCAAATCATCGGCAGCTGATAATGATGTTCCCATCTCTCCTCAGCAGGGAGGGATGAAGTCGTGAGACTCAGCCTCTGAACTACTATCGCAGCTTTAGGGGATGGAGGGATAGAAAGAGTCATTTTGGCTGCCACCCATCCATCACCCTGCATTTTTCATCTCATTTTCTACATCTGACTCAGCCTGATGCTTTGATGGGTAATGTCAGCAAGACACAGGAGGGAAAGAAATGAGAGGGAAAGAGAAAAGCAAGCAAATTGTTGACAACTTTCTCAGCTTTCCACTGAAAATCCGTAAGGAAAAATCCTTCAGCAACTGAGAGCAGTTTTATAGTAAGAAGTAGAGTGGCCTTAGAGGCTCCAAAGCCTCATAGAATCATAGTTTGGGTTGGAAGGGACCTTTAGGGGCCACCCAGTCCAATGTCCTTGCAATGACCAGGGGCACCTTGAACTAGATTGTATTGCTTAGAGCTTCATCCAACCTGTCCCTGAATGCTTCCAGGGGTGAGGCACCCACCAGCTCTCTAGGCAACCTGTTCCAGTGTTTCACCACCCTCATTCTAAGAGACTTCTTCCCTTCCCTATATCCAATCTAGAATAAACCTCTTTTAGTTTAAAACCTCTAACCCTTGTCCTATCATAACAGGCCCTGCCAAAAAGCCCCTCTCCAGCTTTCTTGTTGACACCCTTTAGGTAGTGGTATAAGGTCTCTCCAGGGTTTCTCTTCTCCAGGCTGAAGAACTCCAACCCCCTCAAGCCTGTCTTCATAGCAGAGGTGCTTCAGCCCTCTGATCATCTTCGTGGTCTCCTCTGAACTGGATCCCGCAGGTTGATCAGCCACAGAGGTGTCTCTTACGGGAAAACACAGGATAAGGGACCATCTCTGACCTGTAAACCTTACTCCTCTGAAAATTACAGGTATGCCCAAAGATGTTCCAGCTCCACAGCAAAAGGAGTGTGAAAGTCTTTTCTAACACACAGGGGCCAGCAAAGCATGGCTCAACTTGCAACAGGCAGGACAATTGATCTGATTGAACAGTTGCCTCAGGGCAGGAGCTCTGACACACAGCCACATTTTTGGAAGCCGAGGCTTGTGCTTTCAGGTACAATGCCAATGAAGGGAATGCAAACCAGCTAACAAGGGTTTGCTCCTCATTATAACTCCCTGTAGGAAAGCTGTTACCCTTGTGAATAAAAATAGCCTGCCACTCACCTGTGAGCCACCTTGCACTTACCTGGTGAGAACGGCAGTGTGGGAGCTGACTTGCTGCACATTCACACCTAGCTCACCTCAATCTGTTTGCATACTCAGGCTTTGAGAAGGCTGGGGAGCACTCACCCTTCCCTTGTTGCCAATGCAGGTCATGGAGACATTAGCTTTGGTCACCTGGTGTCCAAGAAGATAAACAAGCAGCAAGTCCAAGAGACTGTGTGCTGAGGTCAGCAGCTCCGTGTGGTCAGCTGCAGGTCACCACGACCCTGCAGAGGTGCCCATGACCAGTGTGCCTGTGCATATGCACAGAGCAGTTAATTATTCATTAGTGTGAAAGAGGCACAATTAAAGTGACCCTGGGATGGCTGAAGGGATCATCCCACTCCAGCGTGAGGCATTCCAAAGACTTTACCTCTTACTCTCAATTTAGAAGAGACAGAAATTTGAAGAAGAGGAAATAATCTTTTCCACCCGCCAGTGTAGAAAGTGTTGTCAATAGCACTATCTTCACATAAAGGCAGCCAGCTGGAGGGACACAGAGCAACCACATGATGAGACAGCTCAGAGGATTTGGGGTCTTCTACACAGCACAGCAATTCTGATCATGGCGCAGGAATCATGGTACCAACCTACCCTGGCCCAGCCAAGCACAGATGGTCCAAATTTGAAATAATTTTTAGTTGTCTTCATATTACTCCAATTCCTGGCTCCCTGACACAATGAAATTGAGAAAGGACATCACTAGCGTAACACTTGAGGTTCAGAAAAAGGTACAAAAGGAATTTTGTTGACCAGGTTGATCCACCACAGGCATTAATGCAGGAAGATCCTTCAGACTTAACTGTGGACTAGAGGTGTCAGCTGGCAACATTCTAAGAGGAAATCTGAAAATTAAGGAGGCTAGAAATACGAGACTCCAACGGTCAAAGTTGAGGCACACTGGTGAGGCAGCAGAGTTACATTCCCTTGCTGCTACTGCTTAGACAGCTACCTGGACAGAGGGATGTGGCCAGCAGCACCATGGGCCTGGCAACCTTCCTTCACCATCATGGCTTGCATGGGTAAAAGGAACTGAACAGGGAGGATGAGAGTCACACAGGAAACCTGCAGAATGGAGCTCTGTCACTGTCCTCTGCCTGTGCTACACCATGGCTTACTTATTTCCATGTTTCTTGAACTACTTTGCCTACATAAATGCACACAAAGACATTTTACTAAATTTTTATTGTAAAAACACAGTTCCCCAGGTTTTATAAATAAGCCATACACGTAACATAGTTATGCTCATTCGATCCTCCAACACCAACAGCTTAAAAAAAAAAATCAAACAGGCTAAAAGAATGCAAGTCCAGAAAGACATTAGGTTTCTGATGACCAAGTTATATTTCATATGGAGCCTCCTTCCTCTCTCAACCTCCAAACAAGATGCTGAAAGTACACAGCACATGTAACACCCCCAGGAACTGACAGGGAGGCATTTGAGCCTTAAAAAGAGCTCTCACCCACTCCCCAGGCATCGTCAGCCGCCTGTGTTTTCATGCTGTCTCAATGTGCTGTGGGTGAGAAAGGAGGGGGCAGTTTGCATAGCAACCTCCTACACCTAGGCAGCTCAGCTGTTGTACCCTCTCAAAACAGCAGGGAAGGGCAATCTGGGACTGCTTCCCTGTGGCTCACACCTCCACAGACAGCCTGAAGGGAGACCCTTGGTGCTATCAGGTTTGCACAGACATCTCAGAAGGGAGGAAGAATGTATAAGCAGCATCCAGAGAGAGGAAAAGACAGGTGCTGGTCAGAGCCATACTGCATGGTAGCAGAGGAGAAAAGAAAACTATGTGGAATAAATGGGAGTTAAAAAAAACCATAAGGCTAGATGGCACCTTTTTGCTTTTACTTCTGCTTTCCTCTGCTAGTGGTGCTGTGCAGTGTGTTGTGAGATTACCTATTCCTCACTTCTCTCCTGCTCCAGCTCAAACACCAAGGAAAGAGCCATAGACGGATTAGAAATCCCACAAGAAAGGGCAGGACAGTTTAGCAAGTTTATATACACACATGCACCAACTTTATATATTCCACACAACTGCTACGTCAGTATGAAAAAAAGAAATCTTGACATTTAAGTATTAAAAATAAAGCCCCACCTCCAGATCATACAAAACTTGTCAAGAGCAGGAAGAAATCTCTTGTATTAAGCAAGTCTGGGACCCAGCCAGTGGTCAGGAGCACTTCCAGACACACACAGCCAGGCTGCCACCGAAGAACATGTACAGCAGGTTCTTCACCTCATGAGTGATTTCAAAGCCAAAACCTTCCCCAATCACCACATGCCAGGAGGACCCAAATTTCTTGTCCATCGTCTCTTTGATCATCTTGGCAGCACTCTGGAGAACGTTAAGGAAGAGAGCATAGGGTGAGACAAAGCAACCAGGAAGGTTTTATGCAAACATCCCCCTAATCTCCTCCCTTTAAGATTACTCAAGCCATAGGCAACAGGTATAGCAGGTGCACCGCAGGAACTGGGAGCTCCCCAGAGGTAAACCCAAAGGTAGAACCACTCTCAGCAGCCTCCAGCATAGGGAAAATAGGAACTGCATCACTCCTGTTGTTCATACAGTCTGAAGCAAGAGTTCTGATTTAGTTGCTGCTAGAGTTACGCTGCTTGTGGTGACCATGAGAGCAGATTCATGTCACTGAGCTGCAGCTATTTTTACAGGAGCCCATTTTTTTCCTCCAGCTAATTATTGAAACACTGAAAGTAGGCTGACTTTTAAAAGGCTTGCTTCTCCCAGATCACACCATGCTTGATCCAAAAAAAGGTGAGAGGAAGATTTTTCAGTGACAGGTGGTCCCCTCCCCATGAAGCAAGGTATGTTTTCCCTTGATTGTTGGTCCTACAGCCAAGAGGGAATACTTAAACAGACTTTCATGAACTCATCTCCAAAACAAGAGACTCCATGCAGTTCTGAACCAAGCCCCCAGGGCACAGGGCATTTTATGAACCGAGTGGAAGCATGTCTCAGGCAGGCAGGATAAACAAGGAGTTAAGATTTGGGAGCCAGCATCACTACTAATCTCTGCAAAGTGCTATAATAGATCTCGCAGACCAAGAGAAGTAAATCTGAGATCTAGCCAAGCTCTTTGCCTCCTTCTACCCTAGCTCAGTGCAGAGAGACAGTAATAGGATGCTAGGGCCTGACTCTGCTCTACCCCTATCCCTGCTCCTGCAGGCTCCCCGAGCTGCAGTATCAGCAGGCTGCCCGTTTTGGGAGGTGGCTGGTACCTCATTGTTGGTGGCATGCTTCTCACACGCCGTGACACACAGCTCCATGGTCTCCACGCGCATCTCCTCTGGCATGTCCGAGTGCTGGAAAGGGCAAACAGACAAGACAACTAAGCAGGAAAACAAGAGCTGGACACAAGACAACAGGAAGTTGCTCTAACTTCTGCATTGGCTCTGTCGGGGGCTTAGATGTAGCAAATATGAAAATGGTTTATTGCATTGTAAGTGAACCATTCCTCCAGCCAATGAAGAAATCTACATGAAAACTAGCACTGTATAAGCATAGCTTAAAGGAGGAGATCAAGACATTTGCCAGTTTTCTGCTATAAAATAAAGGGAAAGCACATTAACACTGTTTCAACCACAGTCCTTAATTATTGCTATATGAGTAACAAAGAAGTCTAAATTACACAGCCTTTTCTTCTGCTTCTTCTATCTGGCTGGCTAGCAAGATCTTTTGCTCCAGCTTCACTAGGACAAAAAGCAAGCTGCATCCAAAACACGGGAGAGGGCTCCAAAGGCAGCATGCTCTCAATCTGTTTGATGGATCACTTTGCCCCAGGCTTCCTCTGGTTGACATGGGGGACACCGGTGCTATTGGATTTCCCCAGGAGAGGTCAAGGACAGGGAGAAAGCCACAGTGACAACCAGGATCTCTCCACAGGACCAGCAGTACACATGCTCTTACAGTAGCTACTCAGCAGGAAAAGGACAGTAAGAATGAAGGCAGATTTTCATATCTCTGACACTGGTAAATGTGTAATCCATCCCCCTCCTTACCCTAATCAGAGGAAAACTGTGAAGCCTTTTATAATCAGCCTCGTCCTTTTTTTCCTCCTCAGTTTCTTCCATGGTCCTGCCACAGAGACTCCAGGAAGGGGCGGAGGGGCTACCTGGAGTTCAGCAAAGTGCTGTGGCACAGCCAGCTGAGAGAAACAGGGCTCTGTGTTCCTCTCTTCAGCAGGAGAAGTCGCTTCTTGGCCTAGAGGACACTGCTTCAACAAAAACAAACACGGGCAAGAGAGAGATGGCTTTCAATTAAAACTAAAGGCAAATGAAAGTGTTATGAGAATATCATGTTATCTCACTCGCTTGCCATTTCCTCAACACCACCTTCACACCCTGCAGAGAGTCTTAGCTCATAGACCATTAATGCAAAAAATTATTAAACCGTATCTTTTTCCATAAGTGAGGAACATGGCACTTCCCAGAAGCACTAGTGGAGCTTGAGGGAAGAGCTGAGCCAAGGTACAGCTTTCAAGAGAGGACAAGAGAACAATATATCAGCTGCTACTACTCATGATTAATTCCAAGAAGATTTTCCCAGGACACTATTATCTGCAAGAGTTTCAAACTGCATATGACAAGAGAAGGGTAGGAGTATTTTAGGCACAGAATCTGCGTACTTGTCTGGACGGAAATGTTTTAACAGGAACATCTTGGTCTCGTTTGTGCACTTGCGCCTCAGATCCCCGAGCATTTGTCAGCTGGGGAGGGCCATATGGGAAAACTGTGGACGTGCCTCAGGGCCTCATTACCAGCCTGCCTCTACCCGGGCAGCGCAGAGCCACAGCATAGACTGAGAGATTCAGAGCATTGCACTGCGGTGCTCCCGCTAGTTCTTTCACCCAGATCAAAGCATCCTCCTCTCCTACCCGGGGGAGCAAAGGTGAGCCCTTATTAAAAGGAAAACGAAACCACCACGGTGTCAGGCAACACACCAATCATTTATACCATATACACAGAGCTGTTGGGTAGAGCACCGAGTCAGACCACCAACTCTAGCATGGGGGCCGTGGGACCCGCAGGCGGCCCAAACCACGACCTCCGCAAGACAGAACACCCGCCTGGCCGGCTCCATTCCTGGGAGCCACTTCAATACCCACCCCCAGCCCGGCGTGTGCCCGCGGCCACAGCCCGAGGGCGTGAGGCAGCGGAACGAGGCCCGCACACCCGAAGCAGCCCCACCACGCCAGTCCGCCGCTCTCGTCCCCGCGGAGGAAGAGCTCGGCCAGCGGTGCTGAACGGGACCGCGGAGCTGCGGGCGCGGCCTCACCTGCGCGGCCGCCGCGGCCTAGCGCCGTTGCTAAGGAAGAGCCGCGCTTGTCATAGCAACCGGCGAGGGAAGTCCCGCCTCCTGAGCGTCCATTGGACGGGGCTCGCCGCCCGGCGCGTTTAATTGGCTACTTGCCCGCCGGCCGGCGCGCGGGGCCTTGGGGCTCTGGCGGCAGTGGGGTGCCCACGGAGCGCCTGTGCTGTGCCGCCACCCCCTCCGCACCCCAACCCGGCAGCTTAATAATTTTCGGACTTAAAACCTTTTAGGGGCATAGTTCTAGTTATTTTTCCTTTTAAACAACAAGGATAAGTATAAAAACAAAGAGAGAATTGGGGCAATTTTGTTTTTTTTTTTAATAATAGAATCAGGTTAGGAAAGACTTCTGAGATCAAGTCCAACCTGTGACTGAACACCCCCATGTCAACTACACATAGCACTGAGTGCTATGTCCAGTCCTGCCTTAAACACCTCCAGGGACGGTCACCCCACGACCTCCCTGGGCAGCCCATCCCAATTCCTAATCAATTACTGTGAAAAGGTTCCTGCTAATGTCCAACCTGGATCTCCCCGGTGCATCCTGTGACTATGTCCACTTGTTCTGCCTAGTTGCTCGGAAGAAGCTGACCCCCACCTGGCTACAGCCTCCTTTCAGGGAACTGGAGAGTGATCAGCTCACCCCTGAGCCTCCTCCTCTCCAGGCTGAACAGCCCCGGCTTCCTCAGCTGCTCCTCACAGTATTTGTGCTCCAGACCCTTCACCAGCTCCATTGCCCCTCTTTGGACGTGCCCCAGCACTTCAATGTCCTTCCTAAACTGGGGGTTCCAGAACGGGACACAGTTCTTATCACTGGGAGAGGCAACAGCTCATGTTTGCATGTCAACAGGAATGTAAAGGAGAAAATGATGCTGTGGGGATGAATCATGAGTTTGCAAACAACTCTTATAGCACCAGCCTCCATCTCCACTGAGAAAATCGCCTCCCTCCCGCCCTCCATAGCTTTATGCTTGTAATGTGTGTTCATTTTGAGGTTTTTCTTGGCTCTGGGCTTGCTACAAAACCTCTGTTGTCTCTGCACCCTGCTAGCCAAACACCAATTTCCTCTAAACCAGGGCTTAAACAGTTTTCAAGGAGATCTAGGGTTGTATTCATCTGAAATTAACATAGTGGAGAAGCAGCAAGCTCCAGGATAAGGGAAAGATGTCTCCTGTGCAAAGCCCCAGCTGCTGGGTGTGATCCCTGGTTTTCCATCAGTGGCCATCCCTGTCTTGCAGAGTGGCTCATGGATCTTGGATTTTTCATGTGGTCCTTCTGGCTGGTGTGTGTTTGAAACGTTCTTGCTGCTCGCTGCCTGCTGAAAGAATTTTCTTTCCAGCTGTTTGAGAAGGAAAAGAGTGGGGGAGGAACAATCTGGGTGCTCTCCTGTCCCTGCCAGCTCAGGAGTTCTCTTCCCTCACTGTAGCACCAAGCTGTGCCCTGTGATCACGGAGAGAACACCTTGTTATCTCTTTCACAGGTTCAGCAGTGAATCCGACCTCCTGGCTGTCCTTTGCCTGACAGAGCAGTGCTGGAGGCTGGGAAGCTGCCTTTGGGCTTGGAAAGACAAAGCTGCAGTGATCATTCATCTTTTCCTTTTCTGTCGCTGCTGGTGGTGACAAAAATGAAGCACTGCCTCCTGTGCCACTCGTTCTCCTACCATTCCTGCCTCCTGGGCTAATTCCTTCTCCTTCCTCTTTTAGGCCACTTGCAACAAGGCAGGCACAGAGCTAAAATTGTCAAGAGACAGATAAAAGCTGGGAGATCATCATTTTTTCTTTTCAGACAAGATAATTAGGAAGAGAATCTCTGTGAGGAAGAGATCTTTCCATCATCATTACTTTATCTCCAGGCAGCTACTCTAATCTCTCCAGGGACACAGCTCTTTCAAGCACTGTATTCTTGCTGTGCTTTTTTTTTTAATGCTTTAATCCCTGTGTAGTTCACCCACTTTTACTACCAAGCAGCAAGTGAGTGTGAGCTGGTGTGTTTGTGTGCATGTGCCTCCCTGTGTGGGATGGGGGGACCATGCTTGTCTGTGTGATTCTGGGTTCAATTAAATGAGCTTTGGTTCGGATCAATGTGACCCCCGGGAGTGTTTCCCTTGGGGACTGCTTGTGAGTGTTATTCATCAGTGGCTCCTAGGTGAGAAGCTAAAGGAAAATGGCCAAACAAAAACTGCAGCTGGCCCAAAGATAGGAAGAGCAATGTTTTTGTGATTGTGGTGGGTGACACAGTGGGGCTGCAAGACAGAGATGCCTCCTGAGGAAGGAGAGCGTTCTGCTGGCCTGTCTCCATCTACTGTGCCTTAACAAAATGCAAGCAGTTGGTTTGTGGACCCCCAAGTGCAGGGTTTCCACAGACTGCCTCTGTATAACTCTGCAAGGCAGTCAGAGCCTTGCAAAGGTTCCATGTGCTGGTCCTTTTGCTGCTGGCTCTGACGGCACCGACAGCACATCCCCTGATCTTTAGTTTCCAATACTAGTGGACCCAGTACCCTTTTGTAGGTGAAAGCAAGTCCAGAGAAGGGTTCAATTCACCCCCATGGATCTGTAGGGAGCTGGAATTGTTGCTTTGCTCTGGCTGGTCTTGCCTTATTTACCACTAGAGGTGGAAACTCTTTCATCCCTTTGTTTTCAGCAGCCACAGTGAAATACATTGAAACAAAGTACCATTTGCCTTCTAACATGAGGGTGTGTTGTACTCCTTAGCTGAGCACAGAAAAGTAACCATTGACTGCAAAATATACATATATATAATTAATACACCTCCTCATGCTTTCTTTCAGACAGCAGGCTGACTCTCCAGGTGGAGGAGACCTTTCTTTTTTCTTTTCTTACCTGCTTCTGTCCATGTTTTGGGACTTTCCTGTTGTCCCTGTGGGCACAGGCTCTGCCGTGCCCCATCTCCTCTTTGTGGTAAAGCTGGAGCTTGCTGCCCAGCCTGTCAGCCCCAGCCCAGGGACTGGGCACTGCCTCCACACCGCCTTGATTAGTAACAGAGGGCCAGGGCTGGGGACTTGGGTCACACTGAGGTCCACCCTGCAGCTGCCCCAGGATGTGGAGGCAGCTCTCAGGAGGCGCCATGGGAGTGCTGAAGCCACATTTCACTGGGATCAGAACCCCCACCACGTTGAGCTGATGGAAGGCAGAAATGGGGACGCTGGTGTGCAGGAACGGGTGGCAGCCCAGGAGCAGCTCAGCCTCTGTGCCAGAGGACAGGGCAGCTCACTTTGGGACGGCCAGATCCCCTGGTGTGCTGGGAAACACAGTGTTCCACGTGATCCCGTAGCTACTACCTCTAGTAACGACAGCTACTGTTAGTAAGGTCTGTTGCTGCAGCACTAGCAGCCGTGCGGGGGCTGTTCCTGTGCCAGATGCTCCGGAATCGTGCAGCATTCATTCCCTGTGCGAGCACTGCACAAGGCTTAATGAGCCTTCCTGGCTCTGGGAGGGAGCAAGGGAGGCTCCCAGCAGGACAGGGAGGTGAAAGGAGGCAATTAGGCAGTACCCCATTGCTAGGGCAGAGCAGGTAATGGGGACTTTGGAAGTCACCTCCTGGGGACAAGTATTGGCTGGCTTGACCTCGTTTGAGGGCACCAGGAGGCTGACACACTGCAGGGAGCTGTGACATGCAGACTCTGCCGAGGTTGCAGGTACTGGGGAGCACAGGAATCCCCAAAGCCCACTCTGAAGTTGAGGGTCCCAGGATTGCCCATGTCCCTGGGAAGGCAGCGCCTACATGGCCAGTGGTGCCCTCTGGAAAGAAGGGCAGGGGCTGGTTCATAAATGTCAGCAGTTTCTTTTCAAACACAATAATTAATAGCCATCAGGCCTGAAGGTTTCCCATTGCCGTGTTTGACTTGGTCTTCTTCATTGCCAGACAAAACCCTTTGGGAGTATGGGGTAGGTGATTTTTGAGTCTGGCTAGGCCCTTGGCTAGCAGAAAGCCCTGCAGCAGCGAGTCCTGCAGATTAGGAAAGGAAATGGCAGTCCCTTTCCTCTCCTAGAAGCGTGCTTAACAGGCAGGGAGATAGAGGACAGCACGTGGGTGGCATCCATCACAGCTGCCTGTCTCCCACACCATCTCCTCTTGTGCCAGCTCCTGCTGAACTGCCACAGCCCAGCAGTGCCCCTGCCCTGCACTGCCCTGCCCTTCACTGCCTAGCTCTCCACCTTTTCCCTCCTATCCTGGATATCTGGACACAACACAGACAACCAGCTGAAGCACCTACCACAACCACAAAACCCTCTCCACACCACTGTTAAAAATTTCCTTCTTTACCCCTCCTCTTTCCCTCAAAGCTGACTTTGTTGTTCTTCATCTCTTCTGTGCACAACACACTGTTTTCCAACGAGCTGCCCTTAGAGAGACACGAGGCTTCTCCTGAGTGCTCCTGGTTAATTTAGAAGCAAGCAATATGTGTAAGTCATTGTAATTACTCCTTGCAGCCAGCAACGCTATTGATTTGTCATCTCCTCTACCTTTTAAGCCCTGTCGCAGGTTTGCAGCTCTTGCAAGGCTCGGCTTACTGAAAAGAAATGGTCTCATCTTGCTCTCCTCCTCCTCAGATGGGTAAGAAGCAGACTTTGCTTCCTGCAGAGAGCCAGGGCAGGATGGAAATAAAATATTTATTTCTGCTCTTCATTTGTGTCTCCCATCTAGTTTCTAATTTCTTCATAATGCCTTTGTTTCCTGAAGAGCCTTACGTGGAGGCATTTGCTGGAAGCTTTTAAAAGGTTTGTGAAAATTCTACCAAGTTTTCCTGTGTGCCCCCAGGTCTGCCTGACTGTGAACCTCTCTGGGAGAGAGGAGCTCACTCTTCAGAGGCTCTGCCACCGGGTTCCCCCCATTCTTGTGTTCCAGAGGTGACAGATCCACATCCTGGGGACATGGCTGGGAGTAGGATCATGCCAGCATAATTTGGCAGGGATGAGGAGGGCAGCACCGAAGGGCCTGATCAAGCATCTCCTGGTGTCCCCTTCGTTTCTGCTTTTCTGGAGAGGATTTACACACAGTTTCAACGTGGGCTGGGTTTCCGGGCTCCGGAGGAGATGGGTGTTTTGCCAATAGCCTACATCAGCGGCCAGGCTGTTTCCATCCTTTTTCATCCTCTCACATTTCTCTTGCCTTGGCCAGCAGCCCCAAGAGCCCTTTCACAGTGCTTTTGCAGTTTTGATAGGAGGATCTTCTGGACTAGTTCCCCCCTCCCCCACCATTTAACCTCTTTCTGAGTTTATGATCTCAGCAGTGGTTTTTGACATTTCCTTCTCTAAAAAATGTGCATCTTAATTATGCTGCTGTTATTTGGGAACATGAGCAGATGGCACCTGTTGAACCCTCTCCTCTTAGTAATGGGGATGTGAGCCTCCAGCTCAGCAAGGCCCTTGAACCAATGCTCCAGCTGAAGTACATACTTCTTCTTCAAAACCAGCCCTCAACTTCATGAAGATGTGCTGAAGGCGAGAGGGCCAGCCTTTCTTTTATGGCATTAAATACCCTCCAGAAAGAGAAGGACGGGGGGGCAGCTCTGACTCAGAGAGCACGCCAGCAGTAGGAAAACTCAGTCCTCTGGCTTTGTGTTCTGTTTCCCCCAAATAGTGATGAATCTGTGCCTTTCGTAGGAGGAGCAGGACCCACCGAGCAGCAAAAGCACCATGCAGACCTGGTCACGAATTGTTCTACAATAGGAGCTCCAAGAGCCGTGCCTGAACCATCTTGTGCCTAGCTAGGTCAGAAACTCATTACTAGTACTTAATTAGATTTATACTCAATGTGAGTTCCTTGCTATCATGCTCTGACCTAGAGCCATGGTTTCTCACTTGTTTCTGCTTCCCTCCATGGAGAGGTGTTTTCCCCAACCCTCATGCCCCACCAGCAACAGCCTGTACCCCATACTGCTCTGCAGTGGGGTAGATCAAAGGTGGCCAGTTTATGACACCATCCCCTGCCCCTCTGGGGCAACAATACCAAACCCCTGTGATGATATTCCTGTAATGCCAACAGTGGGTCTGGCCAACTCCATTCAGTGATGCAACCCTAAGTACCCTGGGGAAGGTCACCTCATCTTGGGCTGACCAGTCCCGTCTGTCCCCCCAGCAACCTCGTGCTCCACAGGAGGCTCCAACAGAAAACATCACGTTTATTGTTCACGATCAGCTTTACAAAAGAAATGTCCCAACACGGGTGCGTGTCAGGGGCCCTTTTCACAAACGTGCATTAGAGAAAGCGCGCGAGCGAGCGAGGGACAGGGGGCAGCTCCTCAGGGTGCACGAAGGTCACAGTGTTCCCACTTGGCACAAGGGCTGCTCCCCGTCCCCACCATGTCATTCCCAGTGGGCTGAGCCACCCCAGCACTGGCAGAGACCCTGGGCAGGGGGATGGGGGGTGGCAGGGCTGTCCCTTCTGGCAGCTTTGCCTCCCCCAGGCGCGGGAGCAGCTGTCACCCAAAGTGGGACTTGGGGTAGGGGGGAACACTGGAAGCTGAACACTGCATTGAGCAACCATGAGAGCCCCAAAATTACCCTCCCACCCCGCCCCCAGACACACACACACGTGCACATACACACACTCATATATCAAGATGTTGGTGACCACACAATGTGGAAACAGCGTATTCTCAGGCACTGCACAGGGAAAACACCAGCCTGCTCTTTCACCCTCCCAGTTTCAAGGCCAGTGGCAACCCTGTTCCTGGCAAGGAGCAGCTAAAGAAGGGGAGCTGGGTGGAACCAAGGGCAGTAGCCCAATTCAGTACCAAAAGACTGGGGGATGGATGGCAGGGCTCCTCTGACCACCACCATCCTCCATCTCTTCTTTTCTTGCTTTTGCTCCCTTCAGTGGCTGTGCTGCACTCTTTCCCCCTCGGCCAGCGCTGGGGGAGATGTTTGCCCCTTCCCCCCATTCTCTTGGTGGCTGACCCATCCCCCAGCTTGGATGTGGTGGGGAGTGCTCTCTTCCCTCTGCCTAAAAAACCTGGCTCCCCTCGGGCAGCCCGGCTCAAACAGGCAGCAGAGGCAGGGAAAGGAGTGCAGGGGCCTAAGTGCTGTGCCATTGACCCTCTGCCCTTCTCCCTCAGCTTCTCTGGGGTCATGTTTGAAAAACCAGGGCAGCAGGAGAAGAATGGGGCTGGAGGTGAGATCCTGGAATGCAGGCTCATAAAACCGGACAGTGAGGTTGCTAGAAATAAATAAGAAAAGGGGGATGTGTTCAGGTGATGCCTGCACCCTGGCATCCCACTGAGGCTGGATTGCACTCAAAGTAGATGGAGCTCTCCTTCCCACTCCCTGTCAGGTCTGGCAAGGTCAAGACCCTCACCATACCAAGGACACCTGCAGGTACGGTGAGTTCCACCCAAAACAGAAGCGGGGCAAGATGAGACTCAGGAGCCAGCCTGCCAGGAGAGAGGACAAGCCACAGCACCAGCATATGGACAACAAGGAGGCTTCCAGGGGCCCCTCTCCCTCCTGGGACACCAGCACGGGGGGCTCAGGCATTGCCCCAGCAAGGCTTACTGGTCTGGGAGGGGAGAAAGGGGCTCCCTTCTTCGGGGCTGCCACCGGGGCTCCTTGGCGCTGGGGAGAGGGCTTGGGGCCGCTCATGCCTTCCTCCCTTCCTCGCAGGCGGCAAAGCCTGCCTTGCTGGCACCTCCAAAGACCTCCACCGCCTGGTCATCCCATTGGATCACATTCCCTTGGAGGTGGGAGGTGCAGTTAGCCAAAGCCAGGATCTCTGCTGGAGCCAGCATGTGGTCCCACACGCCAAACTGCGCCAGCTCTCCCACGAAGGCCTGTGTGGCATCAAAACGGCCCCCCAGTGTGTCCTGGGAAAGAGCAGGAGAGGTGATTGAATAGGGATGAAGAGAAAAGGAGGAACATGCATCCAGTGGGAAATGGCGGGGGGAGAGAGAGAAGTCTGGGGAGAAGCAGAGCAAGGCGCTTGATAGCAAGGAGGGGAGGGGATGAATGCATGGAAGAGATTCAAGAAGACAAGGCAGGAAGGCAAAAGGGATAGGGAGAGGGGAGAGAAGAACAGTGAGGGCATGTGGCCAGTCTGGAGGCTGGATGAACAGGCAGGAGAGCCAGCTGCCCTGCTGAGTGCTCCTGCCCACGCTGCCCCCTCCCCTCACCCCGCTTGGGGGCTTTTCCCTCCAGCCAGTTCCATAGAGCGATGCTAACTGGCAGCTCTTGGTGTCGAACTGGTACCTACCTGCTCCTGACCCAGGATGATGATGCCCTGGGGCCTGATGGAATGCCAGGAGGCCAGGTTCTCACCGGAGCCCCGCTGTTCACCATCCTGGTATGCTGACCACTTGCCGTCCCGGGTGGTCCATGCCACACAGATGTGGTGCCAGGCCTTGTCCTTCAGACTCAGTGGCAGCTGGGCCACCTTTGAGAGAAAAGCAAGATCCCAGTGCTCGGTAGGACTGCTAGGGACCCCAGGGTCTCCACAGCCCCTCACAGAGGAAGCAGTGCACCCCCGTGGTGCTGGTGGCATCCCAAAATCTACAGACATCCAGATGTGCTGCTTCTCCCTCTAAAAATTCACCCTGATGAGCCATCCTCCCAATCCTCCTGCCTCCCACCATAAACCTAGGGCCCCTTCCTCCCAGCTCCCCCACATCAGTGCCTCCAGAAATATAATTTCCTAGGGGATTGAAGCAGGGAAGATCAGGGCAGGGTTTTCTGTCCTGCCCCTCCTGCAATTGGGCTGACCTTGTCATTGATGAGCAGCTCCAGGGGGTTAGAGCCCCACTCCAACAACACGATCTCGTTTGCTTGGCTCGGGACAGAGTAGGAGAACGGGGTGCCAATGCCTGCCAGGGCCTTGGACTTCAGCCACATGCAGATGGTGAAGGCGTACAGCTCCGGCAGGCTCTTCTTCATGCGGGCATACATGTAGTTGTTCTGCACTGGGATGGTCACCTTGAAGGCATCAGGAGGGCTGTAGCCCAGTGGTCCTACGTGTCAAAGATGGGGAGGAGAGAGGAAGGTCAGCACCTGTAGCTGGGATGAGGGTGACCTGTCCTGGGGTTCTCCTGGCAATGTTCCTCGGGGTAGTCCCACCTCCATCCCCACTGCGCAGGACTCACCGTGCTCCAGCTCCGTCACCCGGTTCTGGAGGGAGTTCAGCTCCTTCTCGATGTTGTGCTGCTGCTGGCTGTGGTCAGTACTGGCGGCCTGGCGCTCCTTCTGCAGGGTCAGGATCTTGGAAAGGAGCTGCTCCTCCAGCTGCTCCATCTTGGTGTGGAGGGCATCACGGGCAAGTGCCGGGGCAGTGGGTGCTGAGCCATTGGTGCGGGCTGGCAGCTCCTGCTGCATTTGGTGGCAGCCACAATGGCGGGAATAGGAGGCACAAAAGAGAAAATTCATCACAGTGTCACTATAAGAGTTTAAATAAGGACATGCCCGGCCTGCAGCACTACAGGTAGTGCTGGGATGACAGTCCCATATCCGCACTGGGGTCTTCTCCAAGAGCCTCCAGCTGACTTCGTACCTCCCCTCTCAGAGCCCCTATTGAGCTCATTATTGCAAAACGAAGCTTGGCTGCTCTTAATGACTTTCTGCTGCTTCAGAGACAGAGCAAGGATGGGATGTTTGGGTCATCCCTTGGCTCTGCTCCTGCAGGTCCTGCGGGCAGGACCTTGGAGCTCCCAGCCACTCCTGCTGCTCGTGAGGCTGCTTACCTATAGCCAGCACATTAACATCACTTGATGGGGCTGTAATCCTCTTAGCCCAGCTCAGCTGACGTACGGGGGTGTGTGCACGTGTGCCAGGTAGCTCTCCATAAGCCAACATCTCCTGGGCCACCAGGATGCCAGGGAGAAGTGGGACTGGTGCCAGGCTGTCGTGTGTCTGATCCTAAAGGCATGAACCATCACCTGGGGACATCGAGCCTGTCTTGTCCCATCAGGGTTAACACTCAGACCAAATCTCTTCCCATGGTAAATCCAACACAGCAGCTGGTGAAAATACTCCAAGCTGCTACTGCACTCTGCAAAGACCCCAGATCACACCTTACTGGGAGACCCTGTCCCAGCTGGAAGAAAACCAGTCTGGAAGGGAAGAAGTGACTCCATGCTCCTGGAGTTTCTCTGTGAATAGGAGCCCTCTTCTGTCCCTGTGTCCTTAGTGCATTAGTGTCTCTGCCATGGTCTCTGAAAGATGATGACCACCTTCTCTGTGTTGCCAGGCATTCCCAGAGGTGCTGGAGCAGCTATGGAGACCTTTGTCTTGGCTCCTCCAGTGCCAAGGGACCTGCATGGCTGCTTCAGCCCTGGCCATTCACATGGCTTGTGGAGGCAGGACATGGGGATGCCATCCCTGTCGATCTGAACAGCCTCCTTACTGTTTAAGAGCTGGCCTGGGGAGGTCAGCACGCTCACCTCTAGTTGTGGCTTTCTGCTTTTTCTTCCTTCTTGCATCCAGCTTCTCTAGACTGGACAGAACCTGATAATTATGCACTCAAAGCTGAAGGGGAGGGATGGCTGCCCATGTCACCCCTAATCTTTGCTATCCATTAAGAACAACAGAGGGGAGGGGAAGACTGGAAGAAAGTCAGGTTTGGCTGGGCAGGATGCAGCCTTGGCTGCATCCCTTGGATGGGAACAGCAGGGAGAGGAAAAGTGAGAAGATGGTGTCAGTATGACACCCAGGTACCCACTCTGGGGAACAACATGCTCAGGCTACAAATAAAATGGAAGTTGTGGTGCCCCAAGGTCTGCAAGAGCTGCCAGCAGGGTCTGCCGGGGCAAACCCACAGGTTCTGTGAGGAAAACCAACCGGAAAAGCAAAACTCAGCAAGAAAAGAAAGGTTGGGCTGGGGACATCTGCCAGCCCTGACCAAATGCCAGCTCTCAGTGCCAGCTTGCTCCAGGCAGCACTAAGGGTACGCTTGCAGTGAGAGCAAAACCTCTCTGGTAAGGGAAAAGTGCTCAGCAAAGAGCATCCTACCTTTGGTCTTAACAAAATTGAAGGATTAGCCAATGGAAAAGGGGTTTTAACTCTTTTTCTTTTTTTTTCCCTTTTTTTTTGTAGGAGGTCTTTGGGATCCACTGGATCAAAGGGAGGGTAGAGATGGCAGGAGGGAAAGGAAATGGAAAGGTTAATTCTCATCCTCCTGGCAGGGATAATTCCCGCCTGGGTCTGTCTGCATTTATACCCAAGCTGAACTGGCTGAGGAGGCAGCACAGGTGGGATGGGGTTGCCTTTGCCTCTATGGCCACATCCCGTGGGCTCCAAGAGCTTTTTTTCCTCTTTTCAGGCTGCCTGGCTGCAGCGGAGGCTGGCACGCTCCTGTCTGCCGCACGCTTTGATTGCTCGAGCTGCGGGTTTGGAGCCTACATCCCTGCTATCATGCATGGCTCCATCTGTTAATGACAAAAAAATAGAAGCTGGGAGATTTTGTCACTCTCACTAGCCCCCGATAGCCTGTCCTACATTATTCAATAGTGACTGAGTACTTTTTTTTAACCTCCCTCTTCCTCCTGCTTTTCTCCCTGTTGCTATTTTCTTCCGTCTGTAACTTTTCGCCCTATGGCTTTTTCATTTCTCTCGCTTTGGAGCATCTCTTCCTGATGCTTCTCTCCATGCATGCACACTGTGTCCTTCCCCTTTCGCTCACTTTCTTCCCCCCTTCCGAGTTTTTCCCCATCCAGCCCTCTCTCCAGCTTTTGCTGGTCCTTCCAAGCTAGCAGCCAGGGCACCGACAGCCGGAGCCACATGGCCAGCTGAACCATTGCTGAGCCCCTGTTCCTTATGGAAAGGGATTCTAGCCAGTACCCTCATCTGGCAGGGTTTCAGGGCCATCCTAGCAAACACCATCTGTATCCCCGTAGTCAGATGATGGCTAGACAGGAGACTGGACTCCCCATTCTAACCTGTGCAGCTGAGTTGTGCCGGATGATCCCCCCGATGCCAGGCTAGGCTGCACCCCTGAGCCATGATCCTCATCTCCGAGCTGCCGCTCAGCATCTTTCTCACAAGGCAAATTATTTGCAAAATTATTAATGGTTGATGTGCAGCTGTTGTTTACTGGTGACCTTTGGGGACGGGAAGGGGGGAAAGCACCTTCTCCCTGGCTGTTCGGCAGGCACCCGACGTCCCATCTGCTGCCGCACAGGCAGCAGGGGAGTGGGCAGTGGGTGTGGGGGAGGATCGTTCCACTCTTTTTGGCCACCAGAACCGGCAAAAAAAGATTGAAAGATGCCAGGTAATATTAATCACGCTAAATGTCAGCGGCTGGCAGGGGGCGGGGAGGGGGAGGTGGGGGCAGGGGGCTGCGGCAGCCATGCCGGAGTGTGCTCACTGGGGCTGCAGCCCTCAGTCAGCAAATGCACTTCGATTTACATAAGGAGATCAGAGCCTCATTTGCTAATGCACCGGCAAATCTGGGCACCACTGCTCCTTCTCGGCCCCCAGCACATCAGTGCCCACCGTGGCTGCCGGGACATGGCAGGCAGGAGCACAGGACGATGCCTGTGGGATGGAGTCCTGGCACATCCCAGGATCATGATGCTCAGCTGCGTGGTCACACACAGAGGACCCATCCCGTTCCTTGGAGCTATGAATCCTTACAGCCTGCACGAAACTCCTCAGTGGCTGCTACCATGGGATGGTCACTGCTGCAGGATAGCACACCTGCTGCACCAGATTTTTTTGGTCCCTGCCACCTCTTTGGACCCAGGCAGAACCTTGGGGCTCATTAAACTCCAAAAGGGACTGCACGGAGCAGAAGGAAAACAGGGATGCATCAGCCTTTCCCTCTTCCTCACAAGAGAAGGGCTCACTACTGAGCCTGTCCCCCTAAAAACTCTCTCGTGGGGTCTGGGACTGTCACAATTTGGGTGTTTATATCCCCACAGTGCTGGAGATGAAGACGGGAGGGAAGCAGCTCCCTCCTGGTCACTACCATTCCCATTCCGAGGGTTTCCTGCCAGCAGCCAGGTCACCAGCCACGAACCAGCTGAGGAGCAAACAGGCATTGCAATTCCACCAGGTCCCCCATGGAGCCCGTCAGGCTGTCCCCTCTCCCGCTCTGCTCTCCTGCAAGGAATGATGGGGAGAAGGGAGGCATCTGCATCTCGGCACAGTCCAGGCAGCCAAGGTGATTCTCTCCCCGATCCCTTTCCATTTGCAGCAATAACTAAAAGCATGGAAAAGGAGCACCTGGGTCCCTCGGCTCTGTGTTCCAAGATGCACCAGAGTGTACAGACATGAGCACGTGCTGAGAGAAAGGGGGGACCCTCAAAACCAGGATGAAAAAAACCTAACTAGGCTGCTGTGCAAGAGGAAAGGACGATCAGTGCCTCAGGTGGCATTAGGAAGAGGTGAGGGATGAGGTGTGAATGCTGTGGTGATGCTAGCCCAGCCCCACAGAAATGGCAGAGGACAAAGAGTGAGACCATGGGGCCCCTCCCTGCATCCTCTCCTGGGAAATCCTTCTGCCATGCCGACAAAATTAAGAAACAAATGCCTTAATAGGTTTTTCAGTGCATGAATAAATCTTGTTATGCCTTACAGACAGGGCTGAGAGTACCCAGATTAGATCAGCAATCTTCCACCGGTCCCCTCCCCACAGTCCCAGCTCTGAAGCATCCAGCAGTAATCCCTGCTGGCAAACCTGACTGGAGACTCCCTGGATGCAGCCTTCCCAGAGCGGCTCATGGCATTTTGTGTCATCTCTCTTCTGAGACTAAGCCACCACAGACTTGGAAGCATTTCCTCTCCTTCCCAATGGGTTTTGCAGAGCCTTCAGCACATGGGGGCCACCCCAGGACTGCCCCCATCCAGGTCACCTTTTGGGATGATCACTGCCATCGTCCAGGGTAGCTGTGGAGGCTGAGAGTGCCTCCCATGTCATGGGGTATTCCAGGAAGGCTCCCAGGGCTGACAGCTGGAGCCATGCAGGACAGAAGAGCACAGGTAGCTCACCACGAAGTTTTAGGTGTCTGCTCCTGGGGTGGGATGGGAGGAAATTTGGAGAGGGAGGTCACAGGCAACCATCACCAGATGGCTGAGGTGTGACCATGAGGCTCAGCTGGCTGGGCTGCAGCCATCACGGGGGTGTGGTGCATACAGGTGACACTTTTTACCAGGCAGGAGCCACGACAGACAAAGTCCAGCCCACCTGTAACATGCTCCCCTGTTTCCTCACCTGGCAGGGCTCATTGAGCCTCAGGGTGCTATGTCTCCCCTGCAGAGTATACTTGGGACTCTCAGGCCCCTGGCAACAAAAAACTGAACATTTTTGGTCATATGTCACTTGGCTTCCTCATCAGTGTGTGCATGAGCCTCGTCCCAGCACGGCTTTAGGCTCTCTAGGCACATGTGACAGCCTCCTCCAACCCTTGTGAGCTTCACCCTCCTCCTCACCCCAAACCTCCCACCATCATCAGAAACCCCAGGAGAGGGGCCAGGGCAACTCATGCTTGACGCTGCCCCATAGAGAAGAGGGAGAGCACGGCTCTATGGCCTGATGCTCCCCAAGATCCAAACTGACATGCTGGGCACCATCCCACCGTGCATCGTCTGGTATATGTGTGCAGACACTTAATTTCCTGCTTTGTTTTTGGGTGAGTATGCCTGCTATGTTATTCCAGTGATGGAAAATAATTTGTTTAGGGCTGCAGGGGTTTTTGTGGGGGGGTCTGTCCCCCCCTTTGGCTGCCTTTGGCTCTGGGCAACATGTCAGACAGGCTGCACATCCCACTGTTCCTGCATGTGCCTGGAATGCCTCTGTGTTTCTTCTTGTGCCTGTGTGTGCCTGGCAGGTCACAGGTGCTTCCTCTGTGGTCTTCCAGCTCTTTTCCTTTTTGTATTCGTGTGTTTATTTGCCTTTCTCTGTCTTTTTTTCCTGTTCATATCTCCATCGATTACAATAACCCTCTCTCCCAGTCTCATTTCTCTTAGTGGCTCTGAATTTCCCATCTGTTGCCTGCTGCTGCTGCGCCCACATATCTGTAGTGAGGGGAGCAAAAGGGCAAAGCAGAGGAGAGGGACCCCATAGGTGCTGCATGACTCTCCTAGCTCCACACTGCAGGGAAGAGTAGAGAGGGCAACAGGGAACTGAACAGGAAGATGAGAAGGTTGAGGACTCGCAGGAGCCTCCTTGCTGGTGGCTCTGACACCTGACAGACCTCAGGGAACAACCCCAACCTGGAGCAATTCCCACAGGGAAAACAGACAACTCTCCTCTTGCAGCTCTCACATGCCAAAACCATTGCCACAGCCATATCCTGCAAAGTCTGCCAAGTTCCGTGGGACTGCTGAGCCCAAATCAATCAACACTCACATGCACTCTGTGATGTGCCCCATGACAGGCATCATGGCAGAGCCTTTGGTGCCACTGGATTGTGGCTGGGCCAGGGCTGAGCCTGCCAGGCACATGCTGCACAACTGCTATAGAATGGGGACCAGGGGTCTTGCATCCCAAGTGCCAACAGCCCAATGCCACAGGAATGGGCACAGTGAATGACTCCAGCTGTGCCCTTCTCTCTCCAGCTCCTGTGGACCATGTGGGGAGAGGGTGCCAGGCTCACGGTGGGTGGTACTGCACTTTACTTTGTGAGACGTCCCATTCATAACCATGATGGCATCAGATGGGATTTCCCTTTTTGCTAAAGGGCAGGATCGGGCCCTGAGCTGCCACCCTGCTCTGGAGGAGTCCTCAGTAGGTGCTATGGGGCAAGCAGGGTACCCTACCTGGGTGCAGATGGGGGGGAAAGCGGGGCAGCCCTGGTGCATTAGGACTACTCTGCATGGAAAGAAGAGAGGAGGACTCAAGGTGAGTCCCTTGCCCCTGGGCAAAGATCTCAGGGAAGAGGGAGGCAAGGACAACCTCCTGAAGCCTCATGAGGGGGACGAGCTAGTTCGGGATGCATGTGGCTGCAGGCCTGGGGAATTGCACGTGTGGGAGCACCATCCCCAGGGAGCATTCCTCCCAGACCCCCAGGAGCATCTTTTCCGGGGAGCATCCCTCCCAGAACCCCAGGAGCATCCCTCGCACCTCTATCCGGTCGATTCGGTCCTGGAGGGTGCGGACAGCCTCCTCCAGCTCCCGCACGGCAGGCGGCTCGTCGGGAGGGTGGCCCATGGTGCCGGGACGCGGGGCGGCGCGGAGCCCGGCGGCGGCGGGGGGGCTCCGCAGGCCGCCCTCGCAGCGGCTGAGCTTGCCGGTGAGCTCCCGGATGGTCTCCTGGTCCATGCGGATCCGCTCCTTCTGCTCCAGCGCCGTGCGGCGCAGCTGGGCCGCCGCGCTCCGCAGCGCCAGCAGCTCCTCGGGGCCGGCGGCGCTGCCGGCGGCGGTGCCGGTGCCGGTGGCCGGGCACTCGGTGCTCAGCGGGGTGCAGACGAAGCGGCTGAAGAGCGGCGGCCCCCCCGGCAGGCGCGGCCCGGCGCTGGCCAGAGCCTCGGCGGGGCCGTGCAGCGCTCCCAGCCCCTTGTCGGCGGCGGGCAGGAGGGCGGCGGCGGCCGAGTCATTGTCGGCGGCGGCGGCGGGCGCGGCGGTGCCGGCCGGGTGGACGCTGGCGATGATGCAGATGATGGCCCCAAGGAAAGCCAGCATGCCCGCCGCCAGCAGCACCGCCAGAAACTTCAGGGTGGCAGCGGCGTGGGGGGCCCGAGCCCGCGGACGGCGAGAAAACAAAGCGGGCGGGGATGGAGAGGGGGACGGACTGTCGGAGGGAAGGACGGGCAGCCCGGAGGGAGCTGGCGGTGAAGGACGATACCAGCAGCAGCACCGGCACCAGGGCCCCGCCGCGCCGCGCCGCGCTTATATGTGCCGGGCGGCGCCGCCCGCACCGCACCGCACCGCCCCCGCCTCCGCCACCGTCCCCGCCCCGGCCGTGCCCCTCTTAGTGACCCCTCTTCCTGCTGAGCACCCTCCCCGGGCTGCAAGCGCGACGGTCCGAGCGGTGGGAAGCGAGCGCGCAAGGGGACGGGAAGCGCAGGGAGGGCACCCCGGGGGCACCCGGGGACGGGGCCAGCCCTGCCTCGGGCTCGCTGAAGTCAGCCCGGCGGGAGCCTCTTGCGAGAGGATGCTGCTCTGGCGCTGCCCAAGGGATGATTTTTCCCGTGCGAGATGCCTAGGCTGGAAGTAAAGGGCCCCTTGATACCCCGAGGGTATCATTCCCTGTGATGGTCCTTCGGGCCTTTTCCTCCTTGCCTATCTCCCAAAAATTAAACTAGCAAACTTCCTAGCTGTCTTGCTCTCCCACCTCAGACAGGACTGTTGCAGAGAGCTGCCATAGGATGCCTCACCATCTGCCCTGCACGCCCATATTATCCATTTGGGAAATAGACACACGTTTAATCTTCCCCCACCATCACCCTAGTCTGAGCTGCTAATAAACGAGCTACTTCAGACAACCACTTTCTCCTTGCTCCAACAGAAGCTGTGCCATGCCCTCTCCTGTTCCCCAGGCACAGTGGGGCCTTGGCGACACAGTCCTGCTGAGAAAGGAGGAGCAGAAGAGGGAAAACGAACAAAATCAATTTCAAGCTGTACTCAGTAATGGCAGGAAATCCTTCCTGGCCGGCAGGGAAGCAGGAGCATGTGTTTTTAAAACAGCTCCAGTGCTGGGTATGAAACAATGGTAAAGATTACTTCTTTCTGCCCCAAGCATATTTGAGTGGATAGCAAGGGAGCCAGAGCTACAAAAGACTCCTCAAATGTGGCTGTTGACAGGCTACAGTCACCCTTTCTCCCCACAGAGTGCATTGTACCCCAGCCTCTCAAAACCCTCACCCTGGAGCCAGCAAGAAACCTGCCTGACTTGTGGTGTTGTAAGGCTGTGGGGAGGAGGAGAGGAATATAGATGGGGAGGTTCAAGGAAGAGGTAGAAATGAAGGGACTGCTGAGGGGGGAAAGTGAAGCCAGACATGAATAGCCTGGGCAGGTGGATGTGAAGAAAGCCCAAGCAACAAGCATCTGGCCCTGATGGCGTGGCCAGTGAGTGGTCTGGGAGGGTGAGTGCTTGGTGTGCTGGGACAAGTGGGCTCTGGTGTGTGATGCAAAGGAAACAGAAGCCTGCACCCCACGGCATGAGCAGAGGCCACCGGTCTCCAATCTGTCCTTTGCTAACAGTGGCAGGGGATTGCACCCTGCTGCATCACCCCCTGCATGCTGCATACCCACCCTGGCAGCAGCCAGGCAGGAATGGATTTGAAAGGAACCCATGTGAGTGCTGCACCAAATCACCCTACCCCACACCCCGGTGTGCAGACCGGGGTGGGAGGGGTACCCTTTATCTGTAACCCTGCAGAAAAAAGGGCCATACATTTCTACAAAGCTTCTTGCCAGGGGAAGTGATGCTGTGCTGGGGACTTTGCACTGTCCAGATTTTATTACCAAAGGCTGCAGGATCGTGGTGGCAAGGTTTATATCTCTGGCTGATGCTGCTCTGGCAGTGAGGGGAAGGGTGAGCCCCTCTGCACCAGCCCGGCCCCACTCATCCATGCTGAGATGGGAGGAGTTGGGTATCGCAGCAGGGCAGGGCTCACCTCTCCCACGGTCCCGACCTGTCCCTCAGCAAGGACCACAACTTCCTCCTAGAGACAAAGAGGTGACAAAAATAGATTTTTACAGGGGGTGATGACTCAGACTGGTGAGTGCCAGAGCAGCCTCCCTGTCCCATGAATAACAATCCAGAGATGCTCGGTGGGCAGCCGGTCCTTGCAAGGACGCTGTGCGTGACAGGGTGGGGGAAGGCAATGTGGGGCTTTTTTGGTTCCTGTTTTGAGCAGGATTGGTGACAGAAGCTAGATTTAGTAAGAGCTCATGATTCAACCCAGAGGGACTGGGAAAGAAGAAGAAATTAGGGGATTTTATTCCATCTAATTAACACCCAAATGGTGTCTGGGGCTAGCAGCTGTCCCCAAGGGGTGGCTGCAGGCAGGGCAAGGCAGGACAAGGGGTCACACTGCTGTGCCCCCTGGGTGAGAGGGACGTTTGGGATGGACTGCTGGCTTGAGGGGAAGGACACCTGCTGCTCCAAGGCTGCCCTGCATCCAACCCTCCCCACAGGAGCCAGGCAGCTCCATCCTAGCCAGCATGAAACCCTGGTCCATTCATTCATGGTGCTGAATTCAGGGTGGTAGGGTGAAGCTAGGGGACATTTTCTCAGGGGAGTGTAAGTTGATGCCTCTGAGGTGGGGGATTTCCTCCTCCCAGGTTATCACCCAGCTCAGGAGCATCCCTAGGGGACCCTAAGGAGATGAAAGGGCTCCTCTACCACTGCCCCTCAGCTCAGGTGGACTCAGCTCCATCATCTCCTTAGACCAAGAGCCTTCAGATCCTGGCGATCTGCAGGTTCTACATAGCATGGAAATCCTAGCTTCTTTCATTTCCAGGTTTCTCAGCCCTGCAGGTATGACTTGCATCACCTTGCCCTGGTTCCTGGGTGTGCCTGCACCAGTGTGCTGGTGCAGGACCTTACTAGATGCGTTCAGTCAGGCTGGGGTCTCTCTCCAGCCTTCCTCCTGCTCCAGAAAGCATGGGTGAGAGTTGGTTTCATTTGGTGTTCTCAAATCCGGCCAAAAGCCTTCTGAGCAAAACCAGGGCGCAAGGGCGGCGTGAGCTTTGTGAGTGTTTCGGCGTGCAGAAGATGCAAGGCAAGCCTGATGGCGTGACATGAATGACACCTGGGCTGTGCTTGGCTTTGGTGCGCAGCATTCCCTGCTGCCAGCCATGTCACCACTGGAGCAGGCCCTGCTGTGGCTTTCCAAGTCAGACACTGTAGAAGTACCTCAAGGCAGCAATGTCTCCAAGGAACACCCAGATCAGTCCAATCTCTACCCTCCAGGTGAGACGTCTTCACACGCTGCTCCTGAAGGGCAGCCTTGAGGGTGTTTAGGTTGGAGCTCTGCCCAGACACTGGCCTTGCCCAGTACGCAGAGGTGCTGCCTTCCTGCCCAAAGGACATCTCTGTCCAAAATCCACTCACTTGCCCCAGCACTTCTCGCCTAGAAGTGTAGCTGAGACTTTTTATGCAGCTGCTGCAGTGTGATGGAGTGAATCTGGGGCTTCGATTATATGGGGAGATTTTTCACCATATTTCTTGGATCTTGTCTAAAAGTACACTTAAGCATGTATGCTGGAGCTGGAAAAGCTTAAAGCATTTTTCAGCCACCAAATGCTAGGTTGTACTCATTCTTAAAAGAAAATGATGTGGGAGAACCATGGTTGATTCTCCAAAGCACTTGGGAAGAGAGTGTTCAGGTTCCAGTTGCTGCAGCTTGGCCTTCCCAAATGCCCTTAACATTCCAGAATACTCCCTTGCCTTTTGTCAGAGCTTTTCAGAAAGGTCCAAAGACCAAACCAGGGCTGAGCCCTAGTGCCCAAGAAGGGTGCAGGTGCCTGTGTTTGACTGCAGAGCTGATGTGTGTGGGCTCAGAGTAGGCATTTCCGTAACCCTCCTCCCAAGCTCCACAGGCCACAGCCTGCCCAAGGAAAACAACAACAGGTTTTGGAATGTAACAATTTATTTGGGTTAATTTTTTGTTTTAATTTTTAACTCCCCATTTCTGGCATTGATACAATATTCAAGAGCAGCAGAAAGAACAAAATGTACAAGAATACAAGAGTAATTAGCACAACCCCCACCCCCAAACCTGGAGCAAACCAGTGTCTTGTAGGAAGCACCAAGGGAAGGGGTGATTCAATCACCCTTCCAGTGGCTCTGCCTCCCACCCATCCACTCTAGACAGAGTTTAGCCAGCTGGGAACTGGATTAAAAAACAAAACAGAACAAACACTATACTTAAAATGAAAATTGCAAGACAAAAAAAAATATATAGATATACAATTCATCCGTGCACATTCCTTAAATGCATTTTTTCAAAATAAAAAAAAAATTACATATTTAGGTTTATTTTAAATTAAAAAAAAATTACCACCTTCACTCTGTATGCCAAGTGAGGGGAAATCAAGAGACAGATGGGTTGCACCAGAACTATCAGCACTCTTAGAGTTAGGGCTGACCTTCTCCAAGAGAAAGGAAGGGCTCTGATGCTGCCAAAGCTCAAGCACAGGCAGAATCTGAAGCACCCAAGTACCACAGAACTCAGTGGGGTCACTCGCCTGCTCCAAATTCAGTGTTTGCAGGCATCTGCAGCATTTGAGCCTAAGCTTGGCACAGGGGAAGGTGAAAGGAAGGAACAGATGAAGCAGGCCCCTGTCCTCCACCACCAGCAGACAACTTTCTATGCAAAAAGAAAACAAACAGGGGGAAAATAAATCCCAAAGCAGAGAGTCTCCTCTATTCTTAGGGAGTGTCCAAAGCTTAATGACACAGGGGAGAAGAAGAAGGAGGACAGCACACTGAGTTGGTTTGCTCGGGGGAGGTGCAGGCATGACAACTCTTTTCTAAAAAAAGTCACCACAACGATTAATTTTTTTGTTCTGTTTGAGAACTTGACCTAAGATTCTGTCCCGCTTCGCAGTTAGGGGCTGGAAGCAGCAGGCTCCCTCCAGGGCAGCTGAAGACAAAGCAACCCGTGCAAGAGCACGTACCTGCTGCTCTGCCCAGAGGGAAACTCTCAGCATCCCTAGAGAGCAGGGGCCAGCTGGGGGCCTGCTCGGGAGCATGGAAAAGCCCCACTAGTCCTACGAGGTCCTGAAGCCTCACCAAGTGCTTTGACCCACTCAGCCGTGTTCCAGAGGTTTAATGTGAGCTCTAAGTGCTCAATTGAAAAAGGAATGAAGTAAAGAATCAGGGCCCTGCAACGGGAATTAATACTTTGCCTGCATGTCCCACCATGCCCCTTTCCTCCCAGCAGACACATTTTCTGAACAGCTGAACATTTTCTGCAGAAGCTGGCACCACTCTGACTGCATCTTGCTGCAGTTCTGTCACCTTATTTCTTCCCTGTGCCACAGCACGATGCTTGCTGCCCACTTCCCAGCTCCACTCAGCCCAGGGGCACAGAGGGCATCCTGCTCCTCTGTGCCAGTGCCATCTGCCAGTGCCTAGAGGGTGTGGGCTCAAAGCACAGAGCTCACCTGGGGTGGAAGGACCCTCAGCCCAAGGACTGTGCTTTTGGATGGCCCTGGAGTAATTTTGTTTCCCACCACAGAGAAGCTGGACAGAAGAGGTGCCAGAGGCAGCCAACCACCACAGGACTGTATCTCCCTTCACTCCTGGAAGGAGAAATTTACAGAAAGGAAGAAAGAAGAACTCAGGGCCCTGCTGCATGCTTACAGGTGAGGCAGGTGGGACACAGGGCACCTCAGAATGCATCACACAGAACACAGGAGAAGCTCCTGGTGCCAAGACTGACC